CTTTTCCTTTATTCTTTAGGCGCTTTTTGTGCGCTATTACCCCCATGGTAAACTTTCGAAGGCTTTTGCAAAGTCTGTATATATTCATCTGCTTTCTTTTTGCTTCTAGTGCTTTTAGGCCCTTTGTCGTAGTGATCCAGTAGTTGAGACAGACAGGAGGACATTTAAAAACCCATTTGCCCTGGGTTGTTAACTGATGGTTTCTAGATGGGGGTGATCTTGCTTCTTAGGCCCCTTTCAAAAGTTTTTTATGATAGGGGGTGTTAGGTTATTGGTCTGTAGTTTTTTGCGTTGCTTTACTCCCCCCCCCTTTGGGGAGGGGGGTTTGTCTGTTGTTTTTAGTAATGAGGGACGACCCCCGTGTCCAGCTCCCTCTCCATAGGAGGAAAAAAAGGGTCGTGATGGGGGCTTCTTGCAGTTCTTGATAACACAGATTCCATGAGCCCTGCCCTGGGGCAGAGTGCATGGGCTTCATTTACGCCTTTTCGAGTCTTTTGGGCGTCAGGATAATCGGATGGCTTGTTTTAAAACAAATTTTGTGGCTCTTCAAAAAAAAATTCTTTTTGATTTTCGCTCTCATTGGTTACGGCTTGTTTAAAAACTGGTCATATTGGGACTTGAGTAGCTCACTCATTTCCGTGTCATCTGGTGGGCCCATTTGTTAGTGGGGGGCCCAATTGGCGTTGTTTTCTCGATTTTGATTTGGCATGGGAGAAAAATTTTTTGGGGTTTTCTTTCGTTTTCATTTATAGCTTTTATTTTTCCCCCCGCGATTCTGACTCCTAAAGGACTTTAGTTAATTCGATGCTTGCTATTTTCTGACCAGTGTCCCTGGCATTTAGATATTTGATCTTTTTAGCCGCTCTGTTATTTTTTCCGTCGCCGTAAAGGGAGCGCCGTCTTTCTATTTTACATCTACTCCTCCTTTTTTTTTGAGGAATAAGCCTTGTGATACATCGAGTGCCCCCGATTAATCTGTTCTGGGCATAAGTTTGGGCGTTTGCTTAGTAATCTTCCCAGTTATAGGGTTGGACTTGGTTTATTTTGTCCCACTTATGTTTTTTTTATTGAATTTGAATTTGGTGAATGCTCCCTCGGACTAGTTCCATTTTGTGGGTCGGGGGTTTTTCACGCTACATGTCGAACCAAAATTATTTTTGGATTGATATATTGTTTTTGATATGTACATTTCTTATCAATCATCATTGTTAGTGAAATGGGTCTAGTGTATTCCCCAGTCGGGTAGCTCTTTATTTGCGGTTTAAATTTGAATTTTTGTGCAGGATTTTTAAAAGCTCGGTGAGTGTGAGTTTTCATCAGGCTCCCCCCTGGTGTTTTACTGCAACAATATTATTTGTATATTCCTCCATTTTGGGTCCCTTTAAAGTTGAAATCCCCCAGGGGGAAAATTTGGGGCAGGAGCTGGAAATTTTTCCCGACAGTGGTAAATTTTTTTAAACAGTTTTCCTGGAATTCGGGGGATGTTGCATCCGAGGCTTGTAACTCCACAATGACTAGGTTTTGGTTCCGCCCTTTTACTGCTAAAACTTCCACTTCGTCTTTTGAGGCTTTAAGGCATTCGGGCAAACAAGTGACTCTGCAATGTCAGGCCAACCCCCCCCTTTTGCCTTTTCACTCTGTCACTCTGATAGGTTGTAACCGGGATCCTTTTTTCTTTTCCCAAGTGACCCTTTTATTGGGTCTCATAAAAGCCGGAACTTGCCTTTGCCTCTCAAGCAGTCCACGGATGAAAGGAAATTTTAAAATTTTATATATATATTTTATTATATATATAATATAATATAAAATATATATATATATATATTAATATTTTAAAAATTTTAAAATATATTTTATATATACACATATATGTATTTCAAAAAATATATTATTATTAATATATATATTATATATATTATTTTATTATATATACACATATTGTATTTCATATATATATATATATATATATATATAAAAATTATATAATATATATATATAATATATATATATAACAAATTGTTTTTCATAATATTATATATATATATATAATAATATATAATAAACACAAAAAATTTTTTTTCTTTAAAATTTTATATTAAAAATTATATAAATATATAATTATATATTATATATATATATATATAAATATTATAATAAATATATATAAAAATGGGGGGATACCACCTCTAGAACTGCCTAGGGACCCTCATCCCAGAGAAAAGAATAAACTTGCTTCGGGGAAAAACTAAGGTTCTCCGTGAACCTTTTTTGAGAATTTTCCCTCCACCCCTTTATTTATAAGTATATATTTTATTTAAAGACAAAATGCATTGACAAATCATTCACAAAGATCAATAGAAAGTAAAACAACATAGGTAACTCAGGTACATCTCGAATACTTTGTCCCACTCCCCGGCGGGGGACCGCGTGCCCAGAATGCTGCAGGCATTTCCTCTCGGGATCACAACATGGAGTTTTCTGAAAGAGGAACGGCGCCCTGTGGCCCTTGGTTTGTATGATGAACTTTTTAACCACCCTTTTTGAGGAATTTTAGAGCACACTTGCCCCTGCCCCAAGGGGTCTCCGACCCGTTGGGAAAATTTTATAGCAAGGGGGGAAGGTTTTATTTTTGCGGATTTTCTGGGTCCCCTGTGGCGGGCAGCTCCACCCCTTTCCCACTATGGAGTAGGAAAGTACGTGCTCCCCAATGTGGTGGCACAGGTGGTGTAACCAGGCAATCGCTTCCACCCTTTCCCAAAGGGGTACATAGAGGCCCTCGGGATGCTTTTGATTCGCAACCCCCGCCCGGGACCCATTGAGGGGCAAACGGGCGTGGCGAGGCTTTTTTCTTTAGGGGTCCTTGACCTCCTCATCCTGGCATACTTCCCTTCTGCTGTGTGAAAAACACGCCGGGCCCCTGAAAAAGACACTTGCCCTCCCAAATAACCTATGTTCGGCGGGGGATGGGGGGGCGGGCGAAGAGCAACCCCAAATCTGAATGCCTTTGGGTCTAGTTGAGTGCCCAAGGGAGGAATTGGAACACTGACAGGAAATCTCCTGAGGGTGGTGCCTTCTTGCCAGGAGATGAGCTTTGTCCTTTCCTGGGGCATTGGAGAGCTTTGGTTGGTGGTTTTTTTCCATGTTTGTTTGTCCAGGGGGACTGTTTGTGTTTTTTGGAGGAAGCGGGTCTATGGGGGAATCTGTAAGGGTGCCCACCAAAACGCGCTTCAGTAAACCCGGGTTTTTGAGTTCCTACCAGTCTCTCAAACGTTCGGGGGCAATCTTCTTTTACAATGATGGGGAAGCCAAACAAGAAGACAGAAAAGCAGGTAAAGCAACATGCAAGCTTTGCCACCCCTATACCTCTCAGTCGCCTCGGAGGTCCTGATCCCTTGCTGATCCTCTAGGACAGGGTTTAGTGCCTTCCCTTAAAAGGGTTTACCCCAGGGGGGCACATATTCATCGAGTGTTGGGTTGTCAAAAGAGGGTGCACACATCAGGGAAGTAAGTGAGTCCCGGGAAAAGTAAGGACCCCTTTTGGGGGAGATACGAGCATCATGGGGATCAAGATTTTATTTTCTCCTCCATTCTCATCAGGTCATTCAATTTGTCCCTTTAGGACTGTGTCGATGGCCCGGTGACCCCGGTGCTCCCAAGAGGTATGTTGGGTGGGGGTGGGAGTAGAACTTCTGGGGGGATTCTCACCAGCATTGATTTTTTCCTGGTTTGCAATGATTTTCACACTTTGGGGGGATTGAGGATGAGTCTTTCCCTTGCTTTCACCAATGGTATCCCCTACCAGGGGGCTCTTTATACCCGCCAGATGCCATCACCAGGTACCAGATGTTTAGCTCACGCATAGGCTGGGTTCTCTTACTGCCAACGAAGAAATGGAGTTTGGGGTCACTCTGCTGAACACCTTCTGATGGAGAATTTCATGTTCTCCAAAACAAATGAATTAGGGTTTCTGTAGCCGGCTAAATAAGGGGAAAAGC